CCCAGCGCGCCCGGCCCGGCCCCGCGGGGTCACCGCCGCCCTCGGCCCCGCTTCTCGCCGCCCTCCGCGGCACAGCGCGGAGCCGGCAGCCACCCTCCTCTCGGGAACGGGCAGGCGCCTCCGGGCGGCGCGGTTTTAAGCGGCGGTGCGCCAGCACATCTCCCACCCCCTTCCCGGCCGGGCGGCAGGGGGGAGGGGAGAAGCGAGACACACACTCACACACACATACACACGCTCTCACTCACACAGAGACACCCCCTCCGCAGCCCCTCCCGCCCCCGCGCAGCTGCGGTACCTGTTGTCCAGCGTCCGCATCCCCCGGGCGCCGCCCGCCGACTCCGCGCCCGCTCCGCGCTGAGCAGTGGTGCGGCAAGAGCCGCGCACCGCTCCGCAAAGCTCCGCTGCCCTTCTCCACCCGCTGCCCCGCGCCGAGAGGTGCTCAGCCCGTGCAACACTTACCCAAAGTTTATAGGCTCTCCGCGCCGGTGGCGACAGCCCAGGGCTGCCGGTCGCCCTCCCTGCTGCCCGCTGTGAGGTGGCGGAGCTGTGGCAGCGGGCGCAGCCGCGGGGGCACGGAGGGGCCGAGCGCGGCCCGCCCCGCTCCTACCTGCCCGGCCGGGCGCTGCCGTGGGGCGCCGGGAAAAGGCGGCGGCCGCGGAGCGGCTCCCACGCAGGTGCGCGGGCACTGCGCCCCCGGAGCCCGCGGCTCCAGCAGCTGGGAGAGACTGCGCCCTCGCTGCCACGGCACCGTCCGGTCCTCGGTAGCCGCTGCGCTCCGGCAAGGCCGGCCCAGTGCCCGGCTCGGCGCCCGGCAGCCGCTTCAGCAGCAGCCTGCCGTGCCCGGCTCGGCAGCATCCATCCGGCCGAGAGACCTTCGCGAAGCTCGCTCCGCGGAACGCTGCCCTGGGCCCCCGCTTCCCTCCAGCACCTGTTTCGGAACCTCTCTGAGGATAGCAACAACCCAGCTAGGGCCTGTAAGAATTTGCAGATTTACTCAGGAAAAATGAGGGACCAGAGTAGCAATGGCATGGAAATTAATGTCTTGGTGCCACTGCCTACCATTTAGCAAGAGACAGAACTAGGGAGCTGATCAAACTTTCACTGATAGGTTCCCGGTGTGTTTAATGAGAGATTTCTATGCACTACCAACTTCTGTCTTCACCAAGTCTTGAGTGGTCAGATAAGCCTCAGAACTTCAGCTGGGGACCTCATTTTATGTTTAATTATAATGACATTATTTTCCATTTATATTCACTTTGTTGATATATGGCACTAAAAGACTAGCTTTGAAAGGGGTTTTGGCAATGTAGATGAGATTTTGTATATTGCTAATAATTTTACATAACAAATCCATTGAAGTTTGAAAATAACAAACATTTATCAGCTTTTTTTTTTGTTGTTGTTGTTTCTTTTGTACATATATCCATTCTTCCTTTCCTAAATGTGCATTTAAAGGGTTTAATTTTCATAAGACACAAGTGCTAGAAATTCTTGGAAACATCTTTATTTTAGGAACCATGTAGAACCATGCTAGCATGATTTGGTTTATAGAGAGGTTTCTTAAAGAATTCCTTAATTCACCTAGTGCACTGAACATGGTTTCCTCAGCGTAAATGGTAGCTGCTCTCTATAAATTAGCTTCTCCACAACACCAGTAAAGATATGTAGTGTTTTGAATTAGCACATTTCCCAAACTCCTTGACACTCCAACTTTTTGTTTAACAAGAGTTTGAAAATTTTGATGAGCTCACTGTGTACAAGTAAAATGCAACGTTATGTTATATAATGCAACAAGTACGTATTTATACTTTCTCTGAGTATATATTTATACTCAGAGATACAAATGCATTAATAACTAAAATTTCATTTTGATGTGGATTTGATTGTCTTAAATGAACTCCAGTTGTATTCTAAATATTCCGTTCAATTATCTTCATATTCTCACAAAACCAAAAGAAACAACAGCTTTTTGTGACTTTGGAAAAATATGTTCCCAGATGCATAGCATCATATCTATTAGTCTTTAAATTGACATCCAGTAGTCAACCGTATAAATATCTTCCCAAATGCCAGCTTCACAGTAGCACATGCCAAGTACTTGCCTTTAGTTCCCCGTGTCTAATCTATTGCTTTCCCTGTAAAACACTGATTTCAAGAGATTATTTTTCTCCCAGGGAAGGAATTCAGTCCCAGTATATGTGAGCCTCAAGTTACTAAATATGGATCAAAACACTGAAATACAGTGAGTAGTTACTTAATTGCGATAAATCATTCCAGTACAACACTAAATTTTTATAGGCCTTGCAATAAAATGTTACATCTGGTGGTATGGGGCAGAGGGCTGGTTTTGAATCATGATACTGCCTTAAAAGTTGCTTTGAAGTACTCTCAGTTACACAGGGTCATATAAAAAACAAAAATTGCTGCAAAAAAATATGATCACAATTAAAAATAGATTTTCTTATGTTGTGCAGCATTTCCATATATTCACTTAACTTAGGTCTTTACTGTTCTCTCTGCTGTGTATTAAAACAGGATCCAACCTCAGCTCCTATTGAAATGGAAAAGGTCCCACAAGTTCATTTGCAGTTTGGAATGACAACTCCATTGACCCTTGTAGCTTTAAAACGCCGAAGAAAAATTTGGAGGTCTTAGGACACAGGAAGAAAAATTAACACCTTCATTAAACATTTCATATGCCCTTGGAAAGCAACAACCCTCACACAGATGAAAGCCAACTCAGTACAGCTGAGCTCTGAAAGATCAATGTAAAAGATGTCAGACTGTAGGACTCTAACATTAAGATTCTTTTTTCCACTGGAAAATATTTAGGAGATTGCTATTCACATGCCTACTTTTAGAAACATTGCTGCATTATGTGCTGTTTTGAGAGCAGGTAGAGGATGGGGATAGATGGGTTATGGCTTATGGCTAAGAGCTTCCTCAGCACAGAGCTCAGTGGCAGCCTTTGTGCATAGCACATTTGCATAAGCATCTTTGTTCTGGTTTCAATACAAAGCTCCGTCCTCTTCTTCCAGAAGCAGGATGCTGCCCAAACTGTATATGCTCCTGTCCTCCCCTCCTTTAATCAAGCTCCTACCATAAACAGATTAAAATATGCAAAGAGTTTGTCTGTTAACAGCTCACTCCCTCACGGCAAAGAAAATAACAGATGTCTAGAAGCCACAGCCAGAATTTTAAATATTAAATTTGTTATACTATATACTTAGATCTGTGTTTGGATATTTAAATGAATTTTGTTGCTAAGCGTGACTTAAAGTTGCTCATTTAATAAAACTATGATGAACTTGGAGCCCTAAATTTTTATATGATTCATGAAAGAATAAAGCACCTAACTCAAGAATCCTAACAGAAAAATAATTATTAGTTTCCAATATGTTTTATTTGCTTTTCATATATTGCAACAGTCATCTGCAGTTACAGTATATTAGTAGTTTTGAAAGAAACAGGGTTCAGGCTTATAAATCTGACTTCGGTAGTGGCATTACTCTACATCACAGGTGCAAACTATTGAAAAGTAGTCTGACTCCATGTGAAATCAGCTAAGGTAACAGCAAGCTATATATAAAGAAAGTATTTTTCAGAATATATGGTTTTAAGAAACAAATGTAGTTCACCAAATTTGTTAAAGAAAAAATCAATTTATCAAAATTTGATTCATCTACCTTAGAACATTTTTACATTATATGAAGAGTTTTGTGGAGAAAATGGAATTAAGTGAAAAAAAAAAAAAGAACAAAAACCTTTCTTCACAGTAATTCTATACTTCATGTGTTTTCATCAGAAAATGTCAATATGGAGTAGACTACACTGCTCCCTCTCAGAAATAGCAAATTCACAAGCAATCAGGAATAGGGATCCAAAGGAACCAAACCATTTCATCAGAAACAAGAATCTCATAGATTGTGCTGATATTACTTTACATTAACTATTGTAGTGATAACAATATACCATAGACTAGTACATACAGTCCACTTGATCCACATACTTATTTACACAGTAATATACCTATTGACACAGTTGGGATGGGAAAAATTCTTGTGAAATACCCAAAAATACCCAGAGGCATTTGTAGCTCTACTATCACTCACATTGCTGATATTTTATACGTGTATATATATTCACATATATGTGTGTGTGTGTATGTGTGTGTGTATAAAATCTAGGGTAGCTAAAAGAAAATAAGCCACAGAGCATACATTTGTGCTTGAGAAGATCAAGGACTGTTGAGAAACTAGAGGAAATTACATTAATCTGCTGAATTATTTTCCTGGGTTTGTTATCCAGTATACCAGATACTCTAACAGAACCTTTACCTATTCTTTCATTAATGCAATTAAGATATAAGACTGAAAGCATGAAAATTCAGACCTGTTGAATTAACACTGCCACACAAGATTATTTGCTTGATCCAAGTGCTACAGATCAGTCAGTCTTACTTCTGCCCTGGGAGAATCCTAGGCTGACTCCTCTTGGAATACATTCTGAGTCATATGAAGGACAGCAGGGTGTGTGGGAGCAATCCACATGAATTTACTAGGGGTAAATCTAGCCTGATCAATTTGACTGTCCTCTGTGATGAACTGACTGAATATATGGATGAGAGAAAAATGGAAGCATCAGTGGATGGTACTTATCTTGGGTTTTGCAAGGCTTTCTATGCTTATTCCTACAACAGTCTCCTGTCCAAGCTGGGACATTACAGACTGGATTGGTGAAAACTACATATGTGTGCAACTGGTTGGATGGCTGGGCTAAGAGGGTATTGGTTAATGGGCTGTACTCAATCTAAGTGCCAATAGGAAGTGTCATTACCCAGGAATATATCTTTGCATCTTTAAGGATAAAGGATATGTCCTTACATGTTTATCAGTGACCTGAAGGACACACAGGAGTACTCGTTCCTAAAATCTGCAGGTGAGAGGGCTAATTAACCCCTGCCAAGGGTAGGACTGCCATCCAGAGGGACC